AGGAAGGAAGGAAGGAAGGAAGGAAGGAAGGAAGGAAGGAAGGAAGGGCAATAGCACTTAGATTTATATACTGCTTCACAGTGCTTTTACAGCTCTGTCTAAGCGGTTTACAAAGCCAGCCTTTTGCCTCAATCTGGGTCCTCATTTTACTCACCTCAAAAGGATGGAAGGCTGAGTCAACCTTGAGCCGTTCAGGATCGAATTGTCGAACTGCTGGCAATCATGTGAGTCTGGAGACCGGAAGCTGTAAGCAAGGGTCTTTTTTGCAATTCGTCCAAAACTGCGGATTTGCCCGTTGACTGCCTTGTTAAGTGTGAATCATCTGAAAAGGAAAGGGAGTTAGGGGATGAGGAAGTCAACGATTACAGGCAGCCCTTCGTTTGCAACAGTTCATCTAGTGGCCATATGAAGTTACAATGGCACTGAAAAAAAGTGACTTATGACCATTTTCCCCCAACATCCCCATGGCCACATGATCAAAATTCAGACTCTTGGCCATTGACTCATATCTATGACAGTTGCCGTGTCCTGGGGTCAGGTGTTCACTTTTTTCGACCTCCTGACAAGCCAAATGTCATAAATGATTTCTATGGTCTTTTTAGAGTTGCCAACAGAAAGGGAGGAGAGCGAGCAGTGGGCAGCTCGCATTCCATAAATGTTTTCAAAGATAGTAACTAGGTGACTGAAGTTTCTGCCGTGCAAAATTCTAACTGGAGAGTATGATTGATGACTCCTGGCTATGGATGTGTCCCATCGGAGAATATGAATTATGATACACCTAGGGAGTGGGGGAAAACCAGGGTCAAGGGTGACAATGAATGATGTGTCTCAGAGTTGGCTACATCCTTATACCAAGCCAATGGGGAAGATTCACTTGACAAACTGCAACAATTCACTTAGCAACTATGGCAAGAAAGATCATAAAACTGGGCAAGTTTCACTTAACAACTATCTCACTTAGCAACAGGAATTTTGGCCTGAATCATGGTCGTAAGTCAAGGACTGCCTGTAGTTCTTTTAGACCCTGATGGTTCATCCACTATTTGATGCAGATCGGTCACCATTAGTACTGATTTAGGATAGTACAAAATTCGATTTGGTGAGATTTATAAATTGATGTCCTGTTGCATTTAATGTGAGCCACAATGCTCTCATTAGTGCAAAACTGGCACAATTCTGATTGCGTGCACAATTGGGATTTTTAGACACTAATCATTGTTCGTGCAAAATGGAGAAAAGGAAGGAATTTTTTTTTTAAAAGGAGTTCTTTTTAAAGAACTCTAGAAAATACAGGAGATAGCAGGTGTGTTTTATGATATGCGTTATATCTGGTACAGGAGATAAAGTGAGCGTATTTTCCTGACAGTATTTCATTTAATAAACATGTACAAATGTAATTTTAAAAAAATTCATTGCCAGTTTCTGGTGAACTGGAACCCATGATCCTGTTTTGTGTAGAAAGATTGTTTCACATAATTGGGACCATTACTTGGGTTTTATTATTTGAACCAATCGAGACCTACCTTGTGTAAACTAAATCTGTAAATGTAACTAAATAATATAAATAACTAAATTTACAAATATAACAATTTATGCAGGAAAGTGATCCCCGAATGCCTAAAGGATCAGTCGAGACTCTTCTTGCAATCGAAGCAGAATTTATGTACTTCTCGTTAAGCTTTTCACGCTGTGCCTCTTTTCGTGTACTTTATTGTTGCTCTTGTTGAAAGGTGGGGAGGAAAGTGGTATTTTCATTTAATTCTCATTCTTGTTTATATAAAATCTCCTAGGGTTCCCTAAGGTATTAAATTCTATTGCACCCCAAACCTCTTTCTGCCTCTTACAGATCTCCGACCGTCCTCTATCCTAAAACCCTTTTTTCTCTGCAATTAACCTAGCCTTAAATGCCAAACAAACGAGCAAGCATCTCTAACCAGTCCCACGCCCACATGCCTTTACTACCACTCCCAGCCTTCCCCGCGGTCACTCGACCGTGGCCGCGGACGAAGGCAGCCGGCGCGAGGCATGCCGGAACCTGTGGTTCCCTCCCTTTCTTTATGTAAAGGTCTGGGCAAGAAGAGAAGGAAGCGTCCCGAGAGCCTTTTCTCCGCCCCTCCCTCCTGATAGGCCGCGTCACCTGGACGAGGCGGGCGGAACGGGAGGACGGCGGCCAACGGGAGAGGCGGTGGGAGGATTGACGCGGCGGGGAGCCAGTAGCCGGGCGGCGGCGCTGTCGCTGGGCGAGCGGGAGGCCTGGGTGGTTGGCAGCCCAGCGCAGTTTCCCGAGGAGACGCGGCGCTGATGGGGCGGCGGAGACCCGGACGGACGGCCTGGGCGGCCTGAGAGCGAGCGAGAGAGGTGAGTCTCCCCGTGGGTGGCCGTCGCGGCTCTTTCCGAAGTCAGTCCTCGGGTGGGGGGAGGGGAGGGTCCCTGCGACCCCCCCACCCTCCTTACAAACCCTGCTGCCCCCCTTGACACGTGTCGGGGCGACTTCACACGTGCGGATCTTACACGCAGGGCGCGATTTAGCCTCTTGCCTCCCTGGAAGGGGCTGGACCGTGGGAACTGCCTCTTACCCGTGTTTAGGCTTGACCCTCCTGCCTCCCCAAGCCGCCGCCTCCTCATTATATGCTACCATTTATTATCATCATCATCATCATTATTATTTTCTTTTATTCATTAAACATGAAACTCAAGTCAACTGAACATTGCAAAATGTATCACAAATATCACTGGCTGGCATTGATGGTTGATAGGGGTTGCTGCCAGCATCCTAGGTATCGGCCAAGTATCTTAAAATGTACTATTATTACTACTACTACTACTATTATTATTATTATTATTATTATTATTATTATTATTATTATTATTATTATTATTTACTTTATTCATTAAACATGAAACTCAGTAAGCTGAACATTCGAAAATGCATCACAAATACCATTGACTGGTGCTAATGGTTGATACAGGTTGCTGCCAATGTCCTAGCTATCAACCAAGTACATTACTACTACTACTACTACTACTACTACTACTACGAACTGTCTCATACCCGTGTTTAGGCTTCCCATCTCCACCTCCTTATCCATTTTATTATTGTTATTAATTATTAGTGGGAACTGTCTCATACCCCTGTCTCCCCAAGTCTCCACCTCCTTATATATTTATTATTATTATTATTATTTATTATTATTATTATTACCATCATCATTATTAGCATCATTATTATCATTTCTATCCCACCCTTACTCTGGAAGCTGAGGACAGTGTCTGGGGAGGTGAGGTCTCCCCATATTCTCCCACTACAACACCCTTGTAAGGTAGGCTTATCTGAAGGAGAGACAGCCCAAATCCACCCACTCCAGGGTCCGTGTCTGAAAGGGAGAAAGTCTTGAGTCTCTCGTGCCTTGCCCGTCCTGCTGCCCTCATCCTGGTTCCCTCCATCCACCCAGATCCAAGCCGTCCATTAGATGGTCTGCTTTTATGGTGCAGTTAAAAGTTGTATAAGCAAAGGGATTCAGAGGACAGAGATCAGAGACATTTAGGGGAGTCTGAAAGAAGCCAGAATTGACTATGGGATGGGGAGCTGTTGTGGGTGTGTGTGTGTGTGTGTGTGTGTGTGTGTGTGTGTGTGTGTGTGCATTGTTCAGAGGGGCACGTCCCAGACCGATGTTTGTTTGCATCTCAACGGAGTCCCAAAGGTGCTTTTTTTCCAAAAGACAACTGGACTTCCTTGTTTTTTTTTCCTCAAAAATGTTTTGCTTCTCATCCAACAAGCTTCTTCAGTTCAAGAAGAAAAAAAAACAAAGTCCAGTTGTCTTTTGGAAAAAAAGCACCTTTGGGACAAGCGTAACCTGGCTGATGGAGAATCTCCATAGACATCTCAACGGAGTCTATCTGAACAGTCCAAAACCAACCTGGGCATGAGGGGGGTGGGTGGAATTTGATCTAGCATTGTCTCGTGTCGGAGCTGGTCTGGCTAGGAAACTGCTTCCTGCAGCTTTGTTTTCGCGTTTGCTCCCGATAGAAATAAAAATGAACAGACCGATGGGTTTGACAGTACCCGCAGTCTTGTGTATTTGTCAAAAGGCAATGCTTTCGTTGTCCTCCAGCCCCCCAAGTCCAACTGGCTTGTCTTGGAAAAAGATGCCACCAGATGATCAAAGAATGTCAAGTAATAGAAGGGCTGTAAATAACCCATCATCTAGTTTTGATTTTTCTTTTTCTTTGCCAGTCCGTTTGTTTGCATCTAGACTTCTGTAAATGCAAAGGAATGTGATTTTTTTTTTCTTGGTAGAATTTCCTTTCTACAGACCCTAAATCATCCTGGGTTGGCTTTCTTAGAGCTGTTTGTGCTGTACACAACTGAATCTTTTGTCAGCTGTCACTGTTAACACAAGGTTTAATTTCTGTTCTCTTAATCTTGACCTTTTTTGTAAAAAACAAAACAAAAACCCAACCCTAATGGAATTGAAGGAAGAAGCCACACGTTTCTTCTCCGTAGGTGGATAACGTGAATAAATAGTTAACTAACTTGAAGATACTATCTCTTGTATGACTCCCTTAGGCTCTCTTCATTGCCACATTTATTTTTCTCCTTTCTCCATTCTCGTCTAATGTCTAATATCCTGGTTTCCTTCGCTGTCACACTCTTCTCCTTATTCTCTTTCCAGTCACTATGGTTTTACACCTTTGTGTTCATACCTCATCTTTATTCTTGTCCCTTTCTGGACTTCTCCCGCATGGGGGTTCACAGCCTTCTGTTCCTTGTTAATTAATCTTCAGCCACCCCCTCTTTCTGTAATTGCAATGGTTGACATGATTTATTAGCTCACAATTCTGGAGGAAGCACACCCTGAATGAAAAACAATTTGCTCCTTTTTTGATTACAATTTCACTCTCATTTACAAACACAAAAGAAAGAGAGAGTGAATATAGTTTATCATATGGTTCCTCCTTGAATATCCATTTGTTTGGGAAAAACCTGATCCAGTTAGCCTTGGAAAAGATTAGGAAGGGCAGGAAATAATAATATCCCTTGCAGAAAAAGTAGGTAGAGAAAGGGAATGACCGGCACTGTAAAATATCAATATTGCAGGACACAGTATTAATTGTAATTACACTTTATTGATCTGGAAAGTCAAATGAAACACAAAAACACACACAGATTTCTCTTACAGGGCTGTCAAAAGGTGTTGGGTGTGTGAATGGGAGAAAGGAAGGGCAGGGACAAGAAGTCTAAAATCTCTTGTGTGTTTTTGTGTCTACATAAATTGTGGTTACCCTTCTCTTAAAGTATCCAGGCTCCTAGATTGATGTACTGATCTAGGAGCAGTCTCTTCCTTCCCAATAGGCTAGCTATATGTATATCACAAAGTTCCTTTTTTTTTATTAGAAGTCCCTGAAGTGACAATCAATGGCTCTTCTCCCCCTATTTGATGTATAGATCTGGAAGAGTTACCCATCTGGTTATTGTTACGGTAATATCCTTCTTGGTAGCTTAGAGACTTTTTAAAAGCCTGCTTGTGTTTTGCAACTCTTAAACTAAGTAGGTCATCTTCTTCCCCTTCTCTCTCTCTCCCCCACCCACTCCTCCAGAATCCTGACATCTTTTGACAGCAGCCCTTCATTCGACAAAGGAATGACGAGACTCTTGTGAGAAGAACAATTCTTTTGAGGGGAAGGAATTTGGGGGAAGCGGAATCGCACGAATTCTCGCAAGATTACCACCGCTGCAAGCTTGGCGTTTCCTCCCCGGCATCTTTTCAGTCTGGCTGGGTGTCTAGCATGCGAATTGTCGGCCTTCACTAATGAGAGGGAGAATGGGAACCCAGGGCAGCCCTGTCAAAAGCTACGATTACCTGCTGAAATTCCTCTTGGTCGGGGACAGCGACGTGGGCAAAGGAGAAATCCTTGAGAGTCTTCAAGACGGGGCTTCGGAATCGCCCTATGCCTACAGCAACGGTAAGCGCATCGCGCGTACAGTTCAGAAGTTGCGCAAAGCACGTCGTGGCTGGGTTAGCTCAATTGTATCGCGTTCCAGAGTCGGGGTTGCAAAGAGCGTTGCGCTAAATCCGGCGTCCTTCTGCACCAATAAACCCCTTTCCCCCCCCCCCTTCTTTTAAATGAAAAGCTGGAGAGATCGTTAACAGTTGTGCCAGAAGACTGTAATTAAGAGCCAAGGCTCAGCATCACACTTTCCCTTGTGTCTTTTCACGGTAGTTAAAATGTAATGCTGTCTAGCTGGGCTGTGTCGCGTTGTGTCTTTGCAAGCTGCCGTCGCGCTGGCCGTTTAAAATTCTGTGCAACCACCGGAAAGCAACCTTGATGGGGAAAACGCCAGTTCTTTACACCAGCTTTGGGATTGAATGCTTGGCACCTAACGCTCTGCCTACACCGATGGCGAAGTTAAGAGAGGCTCAAGAGAATACGAGAGAAACAGATCGTTTTGTTTATGACTATCGGAGTACAGGTACGGCCCTCGACTTGCAACAGTTCGTTTAGTGACCGTTCAAAGTTACGACGGCACTGGGGAAAAGTGGCCACCCGTTGCAACATCCCCATGGCCAGGTGATCAAAATTCAGGTGCTTGGCAGCTAGTTCATATTTGTGACGGTTGCAGTGGCCTGGGACCCTGTGGTCAGCTTTTGTGAACAGCATTGAAAAAAAGCGACTTAGGACCACGTTTTACACTTACGACCATTGTGGCATCCCCCACGGTCATGTGATCAAAATTCAGATGCTTTGGCAACTGACTCGTACTTGTGACGGTTGCAATATCCGGGGGGGTTCTGCAATTACCTTCTGACAAGCAGTGGGGAAGCCAGATTCATTTAACAACCATGTCACTAGTTTAACTGCAGTGATTCACTTAATAACTGTGGCAAGAAAGGTCATCAAATGGGGCAAAATTCACTTAACGAATGTCTCACTGAAATTTTGGGCTCAGTTATAGCAATGGCACTTAAACTTATATACCGCTTTACAGCTCCCTCTAAGCGGTTTACAGAGTCAGCCTCTTTGCCCCCAACAATCTGGCTTCTCATTTTACCTACCTCGGAAGGACGGAAGGTTGAGTCAGCCTTGATCCTGGCGGGATTTGAACTGCCAAATTGCAGGCAACTGGCAGGCAGCAGAAGTAGCCTGCTGCCTTCTAATCACTGTGCACCATGGAATGAATGGAGGGAGGGAAGGAAAGAGAGGGAAGGGAGGAAGGAAGGAAGGAGAAAAGGAAGAGCAAGAGCACTTAGACTTATATATTGCTTCACAGTGCTTTTATGGCCCTCTCGAAGCGGTTTAGAGAGTCAGCCTCTTGCCCCCAGCAATCTGGGTCCTCATTTTACCTACCTCGGAAGGAGGGAAGGCTGAGTCAACCTTGAGCCTGGTGAGAGTCGAACTGCCAAATTGCACTCAGCCAGCAGTCAGCAGAAGTAGCCTGCAGTACTGCCCTCTAAGCACTGTGCACCATGGAATGAAGGAAGGGAGGGAAGGAAGGAAGGAAGGAGAAAAGAGAAAGCAATAGCGGTAGCCCTTAGGCTTACACATCACTTCACAGTGCTTTCCAGCCCTCTCTTAAGTGGTTTACAGAGTCAGCCTCTTGCCCCAAACAATCTGCGTCCTTATTTTACCCACCCTGGAAGGATGGAAGGCCGAGCCAACCTGGAGCCTGGTGGTATTCGATCTGCCAAATTGTAGGCATCCAGCAGGCAGCAGAAGTAGCCTGCAACACTGCACTCTAACCACTGCAATTATTATTATTATTATTACAGTTATTACAATTATGGTTGTAAGTTGAGGACTACTTGTATCAAGAGCTGATTCTCTTATTCTTCACTTAGCCTACCAACAAGTTTCTCTTCCTTTCTTCGCTCCCAGCTAGGCAGCAAAAACACCTCATTCTTGACATCCATTTGGCTCTGAAAATTTGCATTGCGTACAGTGAGTCATGTTGGGATGAAGGAATGCTTCAATAAGTTTTGAACGCAAAAGTGTTTTATCGCGTTTATATATTTGGTTAGCCTGCTCCAGATTTGGCTGAGCCTCAGGCAGCCAGAAATTTCCATGGAATTTAGATTCTCTAGGGAAACAAAAGCCTGGCTTATAAAAATGAAAATGCAGAAACGGCGTGACTTTTCATACTTGTCCATTTGTTTCTCTTAGTGGCAAAATAATAATAATAATAATAATCAAACGTGACTTAACACGTTTTGTTTTAAAAGGCACAACCTTTCCTTGCTGCCGCTCATTTCACTAGCATAGAATACCTGTCAGTAGCTTCAATCACATTGGATGTACTTTGCCCCTTAGGTTTGGTGACGCTATATGCCTCCGCGTGGTTTAATTGAGAATAAAGTTTTTTTCTTCTGTCTGCGTTGGAGTTTCTAAGGGCAGGTTGTTAATCCCTATGGGAAATCAAACGGCCTGGTTTGGGTACAGTCGCTCGTGACGAGAGTTAAGCCTTAAAGTTAAACTTCTTTCCCAACCGTCACAAACGTTAAAATGGGTGGACTTCAACTCCCAGAATTGTGGAAATTTAAGTCCACCCATGTTAAAATTACCAAGATTGAGGAAACCCTGTTTTGCAACATTTGTAATCGTGGATGATGGAGTCGGAACAAGTAACCCGGAAGTGAAGTGTTCAGTTTTCTTCTGTCCTGAGTTTAACAAGCTGTAAAACTGTCACCGGACCACAAAATTGAAGCCTTATGCTGAGGCTCTTTTTTTCCTCCCCGAAACCTGGAAACCACTATAGTTAACACATTGTAGTTCCTTGTGTAAACAGATGCTCCAGCATGCTATCATTGTCCTCTTAAAAGACAGCTCTCTTCCAGTATGAAATTGCTCTAATCCCAGGATAATCCCAAAGTTTGTTCCAGAGGTATGAGCTGGGAACAATCTATATCTTGACGCCATTCTTTGTTTTTGTGAAAGGCAGACAAATCTTAGTTTTCACAGGAATCCATGTTGAAATGCCATGTCTGTTATATGGCCGTTGTGCAAGAACAGTAGAAATTTCATCTTTTTCTCAGTTCTTAAGAATGAAACAAACCTTGTCTTTCTTGACGGGTTATAAAAAAAGTTTTTTAAAAAAGTACACAGTAAAAAAAAAATCTTAAAAGCTTTTTTCAGGCGTGTTCAGGAAATTTACTTGCAAGCAAAGTAAAGAATAAATCCCGATAATGATCTTTGATATTTTTTTCTGCGTGAGTTTAGCGGTTAGAGCTGAAGTAAAAAGCATTTCAGGATTAGTCCAGAGAAGTCCACCAGGGAAGACAGAAGCTCTTAGGAAATGGGAGGATTATGCTTTGCCTAGAACCGATCTTAGATTTCTATTGATCTGGCCATGAGATATAATGAGGAACTGACCTAGAATATTAAAACAGTTCTTGGGTTAGCTTTGGGTGATCTTTTTTCTCTACTTAAGATTCACATTGCAGCGTTTCTCCCCCTCTTCCTTTGGCTTCAAGCCATTTCTCTGTTGCAAGGATCAGGAAGAACGCTTTGCAATTCTTGCCTTGCATCACTTAGTTCTAGAACTTGTCCATTAACGATTGTATTTCACAGGGGACTGAAAAATAACCGTTGAAGTTAAATTGCTTGATCCGTGGTAGCTTATCTGGATGAAATATTCACAGGTTGGAAGGTTTATCAGTAGTCATTTCCAAACAGCTAGCCCATCCTCAAAATACAGGTAGTCCTTGACTTATAACAGTTCGTTTAGTGGCTGCTCAAAGTTATAACAGCACTGAAAAAAGGGACTTATGCCAGCTGCCAGCAGTTCGGCAGTTCGAGTCCTACCAGGCTCTAGGTTGACTCAGCCTTCTGTCCTTCCGAGGTCGTTAAAATGAGGACCCAGATTGTTGGGGGCGACAGGCTGACTCTGCAAACCGTTTAGAGAGGGCTGTAAAATACTGTGACGTGGCATATAAGTCTAAGCGCTGTTGCTATTGTGCTTTCAAACTTGCAAGATTTTGTTAACACAGATTTACAATAAAATAGTGTTTGTTTACGTATCTCGTTTAACATCCATCTTGCAAGTATAATTTTCTTCCACTTTATTGCTAAAGGGTAATCTTAGAGAGGGCTGTAAAGCCATATCTAAGTCTAAATGCTATTGCTATTTTTCACACTTATGACCACTGCAGCATCTCCGTGGTCACGTGATCCAAATCCAGAGGCTTGGCAACTGAACTCATATTTATGACGGCTGCAGCGTTCCGGCCTCACGTGATCCCCTTCTGCGTCCTTCCGACAAGCCAAGTCAGTTAGGGAAGCCAGATCCACTGTTACTAACTTAGCAACGGTGGCGATTCACTTAACGGCGGCAAAGAAAGGTCGTAAAATGGAGCAAAGCTCACTTAACAAATGTCTCGCTTAGCAACAGGAATTTTGGGCTCGTTTGCGGTCGTAAGTCGAGGCCTACCTGTCTTTTGCAGGAAGACTTCATTGGAATCTAGTCCCCTCCCAGTTAAAGGGCAGGACAAATGTATCATCTATTCCAACTGTCTCCTTTAAATAGAGGCCACTGCAATAAATCATAACCAGTTGATTTCTGCTGGATTAACACTCTGTTTGGTGTGCATTCTGCAGGCATGAGTCATGTGAACGCCTTGCCCCAGACTCTGGATTGTTGCACGCCAAACAGAAATGACCACACAACCACACAAAGGGATTTGGTTGGGGGTGTGTGGGGTGGGAGGCCTGCTCACAGCTGGTCATAATAGGCCGTGCTTCCCTCATGTGCAGATTTCTACATATTTTCCTTCACGTGAATTCTTCGCGGCGAGAGCTGCTGCGGCTGGCGAAAAATTGCTGCTCGGGTGCCTTGCGTTGTTCCCCATAAAATTGCACCTACATGGGTCCCCACAATCATAAGGAATCGAGCCTGGTTTTGAGACATCCTTCCCGGACCTTCTCATGCCCTCCTCTTCCTCATCCCCCCCTCCCAGTCTTTTCAGAGCCGC